GATTCGAACATCTGGTGGCCACAAGGGGAGACTCCTTCCGGATATCTCCAATCAGCGAGATCATTGATTGCACTGCTTACGATGATTATCGGCGTTTTCGGATCTTGCATCTACTTCTAGGATCTCGTTTCCATTTTTCTTCGGAGGGTTAATTGACAAAAATAACGCTAAAGCAGCTTACTGAAAAAAACTAGGGCACCGCTTATTTCTACTAGATGGCCTTCTTTGAAAACAACAGCCACTTTCCTAATTTTCGATCAAATTTTTTTATTCTTTTAATCCGGTATTCAGCATAGCTGAAAACACTCTATTGTTTCTCAGCGCTCTTCAGTACCTTCTTGATTTTTCCGTCAGCTCCCGGACCAATTTGCACCACATTTCATGCAGCCTCTTTGGTCTTCCGACACTTGTTAAGGGACGTACTCCGCGGCATATATAAATGTCTTCACAAACAAACGTGGTTTTTCAGCTCCTGACGTTTCACCTCGTGTAGAATTTTTAAGAAAGCAGCAGCGGACTAATTTTGTTTGTTTCGAAAAGTTTTTTAACGTCTGGCAGTTGCGAAAGTCTGCGAAATTTGGTTTTGTGTTGAATCGATATCACTGTAGATTTATAACTTGCTGCACTTTTGTCATTCGGATAATCCTCCTCAGCAATAGTTAGCTCTTTCAAGATGCAAAATGAGCACCTTCGTGAGCAGTTTGCAAAATAGCATTGTGATTACGCAAGAAATTTAAATTCAATTGGCAGGGGATTTTGCTTGCATTGCCAAAACTGAAGGGTAGTGTATTTACGAGAAAACAAACGACCACTTTGACGGACCCCGTAAATGCCACACACAAATATCGAACAGGTGGCGAGATTAATTGCAGATATAGAGACCAGGATCGAAAGGCTTGGTATCGCGTAGGCACGATAAACCAACAAATCTTTATTTAACCAAAAAAAACTAAGAACACACACTGCTACAGGGCGTCCTCACAGTCCTCGAGGGCTTCAACAGCCTCACACACCAATCACTACATCAAAACAAAAAACACAGCCACCGTTGATTCGGCCACGCTGCGACTATCGCAGCTCTCCCCGTGAAAGAATCCTTCGGCAACATTTTTGTCACACTGATGCAACGTGTTGTCTTATGGCAGATTCTGATTATGTCGTACAACTCGATGATTCTTCACATTAGGATTACAATATCATAGCTGCATATGGTGTGTGGAAGCAACCCCTTAGGGGATCATTAACATGAACACCAGTTATCTCTACAGTTTACGTGCTCTTTGTATATTTTCTAGCGTTTCAAAAAACATTCGAACAGCGAAAGTGACAAAATGAGGTTTTGAAAACTTCTACAATTTTTCGCCCACCGTTAAAATATATGTTCATGTTGTTCTTTACTTCATGTTGTTTTCTACAGATTATATTTCAAGGTTTTTGGCTTCAAAGCTTTTTCCTGGCCATTACCATTAGTCAGTTGTTTGCACGTGTGAACTGGACGGCGATTTGACAGTTGAAACTTTGATAAGAGATAACCTCAAATTTCAGTTTC